ACGGCGTCTTTTATTCGTTCCACTGGGGTTTCGCAGGTGTGTTTATAAAGAGACGAAAATTGTTTGGGGACTATCCCCCACGTTCTAGTTGAGATGGTATAACCCAAGAGGCAAAATGACGCTTGCTACTGTTGTTGCGAGTTGCCATTCGTTCTACTAAACCATTAGTCAAACGCCATCATGTCTTCTGTCGTTATTACACAAACAAAAATCTCTTTACTGTTACTAGTGATCGTGCCTCAATATGGCTACGCTCGTGAAAGCAATACAACGAACTCAAACGCGTCTTCGTTCAATGTTGTCAACTAATATCCGGATTAATTTTATGCAAATTTTCCTCAATTCTCCGGAGAAATTTTCACAAAAATTTGAAAAACCCGGAATTCCGGGAAAATCCGGAGGACTTTCATCTCTGAGATTCATTTTATAGGAAAAAATGTTGTCATTTTAAATTGGTCCAGAGTAGGAGAAGAATGCCACAGTTTCGGGATATCATGAGAAATCAAAATGTCATGAGAATAAGGTTGATATCCTGTGGAAAAAAACAACAACATAATTTAGGAGATGAAAGTCAAAATATAATGCCAAGAAAAAGTCTGACTCCGACAAGGAATAAAGTCGCAATTAATTAAAAAAAGAAAAAAAATCACAGCAAAGTTAAAATTCTACTTCACATTCCTCGAATATAATCAAGTACTACTCTTAAAAAAAGGCCTCATTTTATGACGATAAATTCACAATATTCCATCAAAATGTCCCAAATTGAAGTCAGACACGTACGAAAAAAGTCATCATATTTCTTTCCAATCATAAGGCTGTACTTTTATGTGAAAAATCCTAATTTTAGGGGAACAATATTTTTATAATATTCAAAAGATAACGTTGCAAATTGTAGCAAATGCTGTAATCCAATCCAACGACAAGAAGACATAGCTACAGTACTCCTTTCCTTAAACGTGCGATTCCAATGCATTTAAATGGAGTCGTTCGCTCTGTGATGTTTCTCAGCCGCATACCGTAGCTAGGCCCTCAGTCGTCGTCGTCGTCGCGGACGACAGGTAACACTTGGAAAAAGTTGTCTTTCCACACATGAGAGGCGGTTGCGTAACGTCGCACAAGTTGCACACCTTTCCGACACCGCCGCGCCGCACGCAGACGTCCTCGCTTCCGTGGCCCGCTACCTAGCTGACGAGGTGACCCCCCCCCCCCCCCCCCCCCCCCCCCCCACCTCACCAGCACCCGCTGCCCCCTCTACCAATGTCGATGAATAAAACAGTGTGAGCGAGTTGATCATCTGCTCCCGTTTTGCAGCTTAGTCGTCTTGTCTGCGGGCGCAGCAAATAAAGAACAGCTTTCCTGTCTGGAAGGCTTGGCGAAGAGGAGCAGCCATATTTAGAAGGCTACAGTATAGGCGACAACATATCTGCATATGTACGTTACGCGGGGAGAATATGGCGCCGGTACGGTTTGAAGTGTTTTTCAAAAACGATTAATCACACAAATGGTCATGTCATATCATCAAGATGTGATTGAAATGTTCACTTTTCATTCATTCAAATGGATGGATATTACAATAAAAAGTACTGTATAGACTTTCTTAGTGATTTTTTTTTTTTTTTTACAAGCATGACGTTGTAATATCGTGAAGGGGGGGGGAGCAAGTTAAAAGAATTATGTTTTTTGTCACTTTACAAAAGAAGCATTTTCGTTGTACAATCATTTTGTGGTAATTTTACGTATAGATATTTGATTTTGAGGTGAATCAAGACACGTTTATACGAGAATAAAGTCAAAGCCAAAGATTAACTTGTAACTTTATGAAAGGAATGTTTTCATTTTATGATAACAAAGTTGTAATTTACAAAAAAAAGGCGCCAATTAAATTTCAGTTTAAAGTGAAAAAAAGTGGCTGTATTATGGCCATGAGAGTTTGGTCCAATTTATTTATTTATTTATTTATTATTATTCGCCCTAAACATCTTGTCAGGATGCTGGCCACGTCTGTTCAAATCGGCTACATCCTTCATTCAACCGATCACTTAATTCGCCCTCTGAAATTAAGGTATTGATAAATCTAATCAGTATTTGGCAATATCCTCAACCTGCATTAAGGTGAGGACTGTCAAGTTACTGTATTCTTTTATGACCATGACTTTTTTTGTCTTTGAAAAACAGTCGGAATTTGACATTTCTTTTGGTATTGTGAAGTTCAGTGAAACAAATTGGCTCCCTCAAATTGATTCCTTTTCCTGGGAACGGAATTTTATCTGCTCGTGTTTCGCTGCAAACAAGGAAAACAACAACACATCTGTCAGCGGGGGAAAACTTATGTCACATTCAGGCTTTTTCATTTGAGCTTTAATAATGACGGCCTTCAATCCGACACAATACACACATATGCATGCAAACCCCCCTTCTGATGTGTCCTAGAAAACACACTGACACAGATGTCAAATGTATAAACACACACACACACACACACACACACACACACACACACACACACACACACACACAGTGATTATTGTTATTATTGTGAGTTTGCTGTGTTTGGCTCATTCTCATGATGTATTTCTTCCTGCAGGACATGCATATAGAGGTGGATGAAAACGGCACCTTAGACCTGAGCATGAAGAAAAGTAAGGAAAGCGTCCATTCCAAAGCGCCTTCGGACGACCAAGTGCTCTCGGAGCAGGCGGCGGCCAAAGGCTGTGGCGGCGTGCTGATAAGCCCCGCCTTCTACCGTCAGCTGTGCGACAGGGACAGCTGGGACAGCCCCGTTCCCGTCGACTTTGGTCAAGCTCACGTCTTACATGAGAATGAGGTAAATTCATACCAACCAAAGTCTGTGTAGCAAGTTCAATCCGAATGGACGCTTCCTGAGCTGCACCTGCAAAATGTAATGAGATGCAATGTTTACAAATCGTACCTTTCAATCCAAAGTGATTAAAAAAATTGATCATTATGGCTATATTCCTGTAAAACTATCAGTCTGTCTTCAGAAAATGTAATTATTTTTAACTGTAAAGTAGTTAGCGGCTCGGTCATCGACTGGTTAGTGCGTCTCCCTCACAGTACAGGGGTGCAGGGTCCGATTCCGGCTCCGGCCTTCCTGTGTGGAGTTGGCATGTTCTCCCCGTGCCTGCGTCAGTTTTCTCCGGGTTCTCCGGTTTCCTCCCACATTCCATGGCAGGTTAATGGAACACTCTAAATTGTCCCTAGGTGTGAATGTGAGTGTGAGCGCGGATGATTGTTCGTCTATGTGTGCCCTGCGATTGGGTGCCAACCGGTTCAGGGTGTCCCTCACCTACTGACCAAAGACAGCTGGGATAGACTCACCCGCGACCCTTGTGAGGATAAAGCGGATTGGTGGTGATGGATGGATGGAAAATGGATGGATGGATGGATGGATGGAAAATCTCGACCAGACTCTGAGTGGCTCCATGATGAATTAAAATAAAAAGTTTTCTCTTTTCCTAAAAAGAAACAAAAAAAAAGAGAGACAATATCCAATGCTTTTAGTGTCCATTCCATTGTTGAAACAAAAACATTATAAAAGAACTTCCATGCTCATTGGCCTCAATGTTTCTTAATCTGGGCTTTAAGGCTTTTGTTTTCTTTTAATTTCACTCATTTGTTGATGATATCAAGCACATGTGACCTGCTTTCTTTCTATACAACATCTGGTGACTCCTGTCTGGAGGGAAGGCGGAGTGGGGGTGAATCCATACGTCATGATAAATATCATGTGGGTTAAGTGTGACTTTAAATGGATGTATGGTTCGCTCGTGTGCAAGTATCCAAGCGCGTAATCTCTTTGCCTTGCACTCTATCCCAGCGGTTTGTCTTTAAAGAGTATTATAGTGCAAAAGGGGAGGGGGTGGTGGCTTTGATTAATTAGTGACTTTCAGGTCATCGCCCAATGACACCGATATCTTGTTGTCTTCTGTGTGAAAGCAGGAGGAGTTTGATCAAGTCAGCATGGAGGAGCAGCACTACCAAGGCGAGGCGGGCATGATGAAGGCCAAGATGCTCCTACAGAGAGAGTCCAAGAAAGAGCTTCTGAGGTACGCCCTTGGTGTCGGCAAACAACTTTACTCAACAGAGCCGCCATGCCTAACGTGAGCTTATCTGACAGATGGCGGCTGGGAATAAATAGGTGACTTCCCAAGGCTCCTGGCGCAGAAGATAGATAGACACATTTAATACTGTGCTGGGAAAAAGTTTGAGGCCACCATGATCTTATGTTTGAAAAACCTATTTTTTTTTCCAGGCACTCACAATGGCTGCAGTCTGATGACAGTAGGCGAATTAAGAGCAGCACACACACGGTTAGCAGTTTAGACAAAAATTGGACAAGCGCAAAACTTCAATGGGAATCTGGAACATGAAGTAAACAAAACTAAAATTAGGTTACGAATATGTTTTTTTAAAATTCTCCTCACATGATAAAGTTCTTCTCAAACTCTTCACTAAACTGAACACAATTCAACTGACATTGAATCTTATGGCTGTAAAACCTTAAAAATAACTACAAATTTTCATCTTTTGTTCCTTTTTGAAAAATTACAACTGCTGTTTGTAATATTCTTTTTTTTCTAAAATGGAAAATCTTTGATGTTATCATTATGACATTACTTTCAAAAATATCGAAAAATTCTTATGACAACTTGATTTTCTTAAAATTCACATTTCTTTAAAATGAGGACTTATTTCTTTTTCGTTACAATTTTACTGCTAAATCATTTTTTAATTTATGGCGACAGCAAGCCCCCCCCCCTTCCCCCAC